GTCCGGACTCCGCAATCCCCCCCCCTCCCCACCATGTTTGTTTTCGATTTATGGGGGAAAATGCATCCAGACTGCGTCGTGGACCGATATAGGACCACGTTGGATGGCTCCCACGGTTTGGACAGCGCGGTCTAGACGGTCGCGGGAGGTTTGAGGGTCGGCGTTTCAAGATGCCCGTTGGATATGCTTTAATGGGTTTTTTTTAGGGTCCGGACGAGATATGAGAGAAGAAGTGGGGTCCGTTTGAAGATGCCGGGCCTAGATTTAAAGCGTACTGGCGACGACGCAGAGTGGCCACACCTCAGTGCCACGGGCTCAATAAATCCTGGTAGATGCATGTGTGTGACTTTCGGCGTTAGTGCACACGGGGCCCGCGCGCAGGCGCCTGCGTTTTGGGAGCATCTTTCTAGAGGTTTGCTTGGGATCTTTCTATAGTGGTTTTTGCTCAGGGCCGGTCCTGACTTTTCAGAGGCCCGGGGCAAACTTAAAAAGTGGGCCCATTAGTGGTATAAAGCACAAAGTTCCTTTTGGATAGAAAGTCATAGGAAATTTCATTACCAAATAACGTCTCATAATACAGCATGGACAAATAGGAATGCACATGCATGTCTTGGCAACAACCAACAAACTCTCAATTTTTATATAACTATGAAGATAGGATTCCTAACACTGGAGAAAACAAGATGCTACTTTGTGTCCTCAGCCCAGCAGAAGTACTTCAACAATGACCAAACGAGGAGCAGTCTTCTTTCCAGCAAGTCTCTTACCTGAAAAAACAAACTGAGCAAAAGTTAAAGACATGTAATCATAGGAAATGACTTCTTCGAGCATTCTTTGAAGCAAAATCATCAATTACTGTATCAAGATTGATATTATCCAACATGCTTTTCTCAATACAACACATGGCCAGACCATTCAATCTTTCTTGGGACATAGTTGACCTCAAATAATTTTTCAGTAATTTTAACTTGGAAAAGCTTCTCTCAGCCGATGCTAAAGTTACAGGTATGGTTAGGAGGATTCAGTAAGCAATTGAAGCATTTGGGTAACAATCTGCAGCTCGAACAAACTCAAAAATCTCATCAGCTGACATGAGGTTATTTGGCAAAATCATTTGTAGAACTTTCAATTCGGAAAACAAATCATTTGAATCAACATCTGATGAGTTGTTATGAGTAAAAGTATTTGCAAAGTTGCTGCAACATTTTCTTAGAGCATCGTCCTCTAATGACTTCAATTCTTTCAAGATGAACAAAAAACCAAACATACTTCCAAAATGACTTTAGCTCATCAAATCTTTTGGTCAGTGAACCAATTGCCACATCTATCATGACAAGAAAATAATTTACTCTAAATGACTCCTCGATTGCTTGCACTTCTTCATCATTTTGATCATTTTCATTCAATTCATCAAAATGTCTTTTCCTGGTAACACGACGTTTTGTAGGAAATGTAGGTTCTACGTTCATTTTAGATGCAATAGATTTTGCAATCTGCATACTAGATGTAAAGCCATCATTTCTATACTTCTTAAAAAATGAAATTGTCTCTTGAATTAGCTTAAGTGTAGCATCAATGCACACAAACTTAGACTATAACTTCTTACTAACCAAGTTTACAGCAAATAAAATATCATACCAAATTACCATGCCAAGTAAAAATTCAAAATTTCCAAGTGCACTAACCAAAGATTTTGCATCACTCTTAGTTTTGGGGTCATCATCAGAAGTTCTTTCCAATTCTAATAAAGTTGAACGCAACTGAGGAGCTTGGAATCTAATTGCTTTAACACTTTTTATTCGACTCTCCCAACGCGTAGTAGACAAATATTTCACAGTCAAGTCTGAAACATTATCACGCAATAATTTCCATCTCTTGGTAGAACTTGAAAATAAAACATAAATTCGCTGCACAACTCCAAAGAACGTAATAGCTTTGCCGCAAGATTTTGCCATATCACAAAGTGTAAGATTCAAACTATGACAAGCGCATGGCATGTATAATGCTCTTGGATTTATTTCAAGCAATCAACTTTTAACCCCTTGGTATTTTCCCTTCATGTTAGAACCATTATCATACCCTTGACCTCTAACATCATTAAGATTCAAATCAAGAGATTTAAGTGCATCTATTAGCTCCTTGAAAAGTCCTAGTCCAGATGTATCATTAACCTTCAAGAACTCTAGAAAAAATTCCTCTACTTTTGTAATGGTACTTGACATGTTAACACACCTCACAATTAAAGTCATTTGTTCTTCATGGCTTACATCCGGGGTACAGTCCAGAATTACAGAGAAATATTTAGCATCCTTAATTATTCTCAAGATAGAACTCTTAACACTATCAGCAAGAAGAGCAATTAACTCATTTTGGATCTTATGTCCAAGATAATGATGATGAATTTCACTATTTTGGATGCGCCTAATATGGTCTTGCATTATGGGATCAAATTCTGCAATCATTTCAACTACCCCCAAGAAATTACCATTATCATCTTGATAAACTTTCTCATTTGTTCCTCGAAAAGCCAGATTATGTTTAGCAAGAAATTTCACGGCAGCAATAATTCTTACTAACACTTGCCTCCACCTCTCTTTTTCTTTTGCAATTTCAAGCTGCACATCCTTATCAATAGTTTGATTGTTACGTAGTCTCACTCTTAGTTCATTCCACGTGTTCATATTAGTGAGGTGCTCGATACTATTCTCATGATGTTTAAGCCGCTCACTTAGATGTTTCCAGTCACATAGTCCCTCAGATGCCAACATATTTTTACTAGCTTGAGATTTAAACAGCTTGCAACAAAAACAGTAAACTTTGTTCACGTGTTTAGAGTACACTAACCATTTTCTATCACTTACCTCACCATTGCTTAACTTTCTTGAGTAGTACGCATATGAAAAATGTCTAGAACTAGAAGTATTATCCGATTGAAACACAAGATTATAGTCCCTTCTAGGCCCCTTCTCAACTAAAATGTTTCTAGACTTATTGTGAAGATTCTCCCAGTTCTGAGGGTCATAAATATCTAAAGGACTAGTTTCTTGTTCATTAGGAATTGGGTTTTCAGAATTGGCATCATTTTCATGCTCACCCGAATTTCTGCCCTGATTGTGATCATTTGTAGAATCTAAGGCTTCTACGGGTTGTTGATCTAATTGATTCGAACTCTCAGCAACGACTTTCCTAGGAAGAAATTTGTGCATAGCACCCTTTTGAGTATCAATGAACTCTTTTTCTGCCTTTTTCTTTCTTCTTTTCTCAGAACCAGACAAATGCTTTTTAGGCAACATTTTTACAGGAAAGGAGCGGGAACACCTAAATTTGTCGGAGTATTGAAGAAATCCAACTATCCAGTCCCAAGCATGTTGGATCTTGCCATCTAGCTATGGTCCTTGTATTCCTCAAATGAGCAGCCTGTACAGTAGAGAAGATCAGTCAGAGAATCACTAAAAACAAAAAAAAAACAGTCCAAAGATGAATTGGAAAAGGACTCAGAATCGGAAATTACAAGAACTTTGTGAGCGAAGCTGTTGACCCAAGAAAATTGCAATTTGCAAAGAGACTGGGCCGATGAAGTGTGGCCTGATGCCGCCCGCTCGATGGAAGTACTTATAGGGAAATCCATGGGGAAGTGAGATGGAGAAACTAATAGTGGGTCAAAGAAATCAGCTACAACGGAAATATCCATTAATTTCCTAGCCATGATGTGTGCTTCGGGAGTAGGAGCGCTGGAGCGGCATGGGGAACGAGAAGACAGAGGAATAAGGCTGGTCATAGTGGGAGTAACATAGGTAGTAACATAGATGCCACATAAGCAAAAATGATGATGTGGCAAGTAGTTAATGAGGAGAGAGGCAAATAGAGTAACATAATATGTTACCATCACATAGCGGTTTCCAATGCATAATGAGTCTACAAAGTAATAAATGAAGGCAACTATATTACCACACCTATGACACTACCCACTATGAAGGTAGTAACATAGACTAGTAACATATGTATGTTATTAGTCTAAGTTACTCCCCACTATGACCAGCCTAAGTGAGTCTGGAGAGAAGAAACGGCGGTGGCGGCGGCTGGATCGAAGAGACGCTGGAAAGCAGTGATTAGTCCCTTTAATCACGCCGGACAGGAAGCTGTCAAGTAGAAAAGACACGGATACAGCTCTCCTACACCCCGTAGGTCCCCTGCGAATACGGATCTGGTGAACGGGAGCCGTCTACACCGCGATAGACTCGTGGCTTATCGTCTCTCTCGTCCCGTCGGCCATGGTACTTTTCCTCTTTCCTCACAAAAGTCTTCCCCATCTCCACCTTCCTCCGGCGATCTCTTGCCCAGCCTCGGCCGAGATGGTGCCCTAAAGGCGTATGCATGGCCATGTGACAAGGCGGTGGCCGTGAGGGAGCCGAGGCGCAGGCCCTACATGTGCCCATGGGACTACGGTGCACATGCCAGGAGGCTGATTCCTTAGGAGTCCATGGCATGAACCTTTGGTTTATGCTTCAAGGTATGGGTTTCTTATTAATCCTTTCAAACAGAGCTTGATTTGATTCCTTGTATCGTCTATTCGAGCTGATTCAACTTTGCTCTCTTTCGCAGATCCAAAGCAATCATGACGTCGGTATGAACATAAATCGCCCAACTTAAATGTGATCCGGCAAGGCTTCAATTAATTGGCCTGACAGAGGCAGAACTCCGAGTCAATGAATTAGGATTTGCATGGTGCATGGTGCTTCTGTTTTCCTCTCTAATTTTTATTGGACATATATGTTCTTTGTCTTCTGTCCTTGTGTATGCCTTGAGTTAATTGTTCTTTTCCTGGTTTGAAATAACTATTGTTCCTGATGAACTCCGCCGAGCTCTTGTGCATGCATGAAGGCGATGTGGCCGTGATGATGTCTGAAGCACTAGCTTGCATGTACATATGCCTCTCGGAAATCGGAATTCCTCTCCTCTTCTGAAAGTCCTGCAGATCTCCGGCGAGCTCTTGCTCAGCCATGGCCCAGGCGACCGGGATGGAATCCACGGCATATGCTTCTTCATGTGACATGGAGAACGAGAAGGTGTGCTGGACTATATATGTTGTCCTCTGCACCTCCTTTCTTCCGGCGAGCACTGTTCATGCCCGGCGGGCCGGCTGAGTGGGTGCCCGAGGCATAGGCCCGTGCATGTGCCTCTGAGACCACGGCGGGTAAGTCAGGAGGAGTGTTCATAGGACGAAGCAGAGTTCATTGAGGCGGGAGAAGACCTAGACTATGTTTAATACTCCCTCCGTTCCTAAATACTATAAGTCTTTGTAGAGATTCCACTAGGAACCACATACGGATGAATATAGATGCATTTAAGTGTAGATTCATTCATTTTGCTTCGTATGTAGTCCATCTAGTGGAATCTCTATAAAGACTTATATTTAGGAACGGAGGGAGTAGGTAGTACGATGATTGTTGTATTATACCTTTGAAACAGAGTTTCATTCTCTCATTTTCGTTCTGCTGTAGGTTCGAGATGATTCAACTATCTTTCTCATATCTAACGGAAACTTACGGCTTCAAGAGGCCAGACAGATGCACAACTCTAGTCGGTGGATTAGAAGAAGGTGCAAGATTGTTCTGGTTCAAGGTATGTTGCTTTCCTAATTCTGTATTAGCTCACTTTCTGTACATCCGAGTTAATTGTTCTGTGCAGGTTTCATTTGTGTCACGCCCCAACTCTTGTTCCTATTCTCACTAGCGAGGTTTTGTTCGTGCAAGCAGTGTGTCAGCAGGTCATTTACATGTGTATGCGCCTCTTAGATTTCCTACTAAACGTGAGAAATCCACATTTCATGGAGTTATGTTATCCTCACTCTGGCGTGCCTTGTTCATGCTTGGCCTCGTGATTGTGAGGGAGATCGAGGCATTTGTGTGTCCATGTGCCTTTGGGACTTGGTCGACAAAGGCAAATTCTCACGACAGCATAGGATAAGTTTAATAACTATAAATATATGTACGTACACAAGCCGTCTGATGGTGTGCGGACTCAAGTAGAAATATGATTTTTTTTTCTTTATTCCATCCTTTGAAACTGACTTGTCTTCTTTACCGCTTCTGTACATTCGAGCTGATTCAACTTTCCTCTCGTTTGCAGATCTTTGCGTTGTCAAGCCAACTCAGGGATCTAAGTCTGTTGGCAAAATGGCAAATACTCCACTGCTTCCGCTTCCGGAAGCCTGACCGATGAACAACTAGATGCTGAGCTAATAGGTCCGTGTCTTTATCTGATTCCAAGGGCGGTCCTTCTCTGAAATTTCCAGTTTTGAAGATACGAGCTAATTGGTCGTTTCATTTCCGCAGATATGAACCGTGTCAAGGCCACCTGGTGCGTGACCATGGATTGATTGAAGACACGCGTATCAAGGTACACATTCAAGTAGTCTGATCATTGGTTCTCATTTCACCGTGCTTGTGCTTGACCTGCAGTGCGCTTTTTACTGTTGTTTTATTTATTTTTAACATAGGCATAATATTTGCCTTCTCTATTAATGAAGGGGTTAAAGAAACTTCTACATGGCATAAACATACGGAACAAGGTCGCTACTCTCCTGGTATGATTTGCCTCGGTCGCTTTGGTCCGGTAATAGCCAAGAAGTGGCCTCCTTGTTGATGGCATCTAGGAGACTAGGAGGATGTTCGGCGCCGCGTACTTGGGGTGGAAGTTTTGACGGACATATTGAGCCACCACTCCTTGACGGAATGCTTGTCATTCCAAGAGGAAATGTCAAAACTCTCGAGCACAATCCCCAAAGCCTTGGTGAACCGGCACTTGTAAAAAAGGTGTGCCACGTACTCTTGCTCTCTTTTACACAAGGTACATAAGCCACAATTTGTATAGTCGTGTTTGTGTCAGTCCAAATTCTATTTTGCATAGCCAAACAAAAAAATAATTTATCTTTGGAGGTGCCCATGCCTTTCAAACAGTTCTTTTCATCGTGGTGCACATGCCCCCAAGAATTGCGTCCTAAGCAAAGGCCACCATATAATGGCCACTAGTTATGAACTTCTAAATAATGTGATCCTCGATGCCCTCCTCAAGGTTAATATCGCGGAGGTGCGTCCAGTAAAAAGATTAGCTTTTGGATATGGGCCATTTGATTGTGTAGGGATTCTTTTATCTTAGGTCATCTTCAGCGGCGACCCGCAAATTTCTTCCAGCATTCATCCATGGACATGGACGCGGGAGGCTTCTCTAACCTTCCATCCAAACTAAAGCTAACATTATCTAGAGGCCCTTGCGAATTTATCAAAGGTTGTTGAGGCCATTTGGACAAAATATTTTTTTGGCCAACTGGGTTTGAGTTAGTGTTGACAAAGATACATGAGGATAGATACCGTCAACTAGATAGTAGCCCATGTTGTACTCATGTCCATTGATAGTATAGTAGCAAGGAGGAGCTTTTCCTTCGGCCAGCCTCGCAAATAACGGTGATTGTTGCAGCACATTGATGTCATTGTGAGACCTGTGCATGCCAAAAAAAGCGTGCCAAATCCAAAGATCATGTGATGCAACTGCTTCAAGAATGATGGTGAGCTTCTTAACATGACCCTGATATTGCCCTTGTAAAGCCTTCGGGCAGTTCTCCAATTTCCAATGCATGCAGTCAAGGGATCCAAGCAAACCTGGCCACCCTCTTACTTCTGAGATTGCCAAGAGCCTCTGGATGTCTGGCACAGTTGGTTCTCTTAGGTACTAAGGTCCAAACACCTCGACCACGATATTTGCAAACCCGACCATGGCATCTCCACATGTGCTGTCACACATCTGGGTACCCGTCCCACGAATCAGCGGTCGTGCCATATGCAAGCATCCGGAGTGCGGCCTTGCACTTCTGCTAACCAGAGAACCCAATCGTTTTCACAGTGTCCTTCAAGATGAAGTAGTCATCATAGGACCAGACACCGTTGTACAAACGATCGAAGGCTGCCTTGCACATCCGAAAACACCGATAAAAATAGTCAGCAAAGAGTGCATCTAAGGCGAAGTACTCGTTCATCAGTGTCAAATGGCTGCGCTCCCTGTTGTGGCTGAGCACTCAATAACCCTTGATTGATCCCTTGAGATTGGGAACACGCTCTTCCGCACGTTCCACGTCTTCAAGGACCGCGTGCATCATCGACGTCTCATCTGAGTACTCCTCGTCGGACGAGCCATCAGACAACTCAACATAGTGCTCGTATATGTACTCCCAAGTCGGAATCCATTGCTAGAAAGAAGGGAAATTGTTTCTTAGCTCTGGCAATTCATCGAACAGTTGTCAAGCATGTTCAATATAGCAGTAGTGGATGGTACCTCGCAGGGCGGTTGGAGGACTGAGGTTGAACAACAATGGAGGAGAAGCGGGGTAGAGCACGGCTGGAATGCTAGACACGATGGAGACATAGAGTTTCGGCAGGGGTGTGTCGTGGCGGCGGCGAAGGCAAGAGAGAAAGGAGGAGAGAAAATGGGGAGTATGGAGGCGCGGGGTCCGGGAAGGATTTTGGGTGGGCCAGGGTGTCGGAGTCCTACGTGTCTGGTGTCCAGACTCCCGCAAAGCTCCCCCACGTTTGTCTCCGGTTTGCGGCAGAAACCACGCCCGGATCACCCTGCGGACCAATATAGGCCCCCATTGGTTGGTTCTCTGTTGTTCGGACAGCGCGGTTCGAATGGATGCGGGCGGTTTATGGGTCCGCCTTGGAGATGACCTTACCATGCAACCAAGGGGATCCGAAAATGGGGCTCATGCACCATTCCCAATGGTGATGGTAGTGGGGTTCCTGTGACGAACCACATTTGTTTATGGCACTTTCCATCCAAACTAAAGCTAACATTATCTAGGGGGCCTTGCGAATTTTCCAAAGGCCTTCGAGGTCATTTGGACAAATTTTTTTCCAAATTAACTTGGGGGGATGATGACGATGAGTTATGCTGCTCGTACTAGGTGATGTTTTTGCCCTCTCAAGTCTTGCTGCAATTTTGGCTATAGCACACACCAGAGAACCAACATGCACGCCTAGCATGTTGGCTATAGCACACACATCACATCACACATGACCACCGCCGGAGCTACAACAATGTTCGCTAGGCGTTGGCCGCGCATCCCAGAGGAGAAAAAGCAACGGGGGTTCATATTAGAGTGGGCCAATTTGAGAAAAATAATGGGCTTTTCTTTGTATCGGCCTGCCCATATTTGGCACTGTATCTCCGCCACTTCACATGACCACAACTCACCGGTCGAAGCAAACCACACTCATCTGGTCGGACACACCGATGTGTTTGTGTTTGGTAGCCCGTATACACCCCATTGAGGCTAGCGCAGGATGAATCGACCTGTTTGGTTGCTTGGGCTGCTTGTGTTTCTGGCCCGCACAAACCTCAAAGCAACTCTAGGCCTACATCTGTAGGAACGGCCGAACCAGCCATTTTCCAGAGACACAATTGCTTGAGCCACGCACGGCGAGTGCCTGCACGTGTGGGGAAGCGTGGGAGACGTCTCATAACTTTCTACGCTTTCTACAGTCACCTCCCGCTGCAGTTCACATGCACTCGCCCCTCATTGCCCCTTCGGTGTCTCCGATGGCAGAGGCACCGTCGCACCGCCCCGCCCCACTCCAACCATCGCTGGTAGCAACCCCATCCAGGAGTGCTGGATTGCTGGCCTCCCCTCTTCCGGTCGAGATCTCACGGCGGCGCTTCGATGCCATCCAAGTTCTGTGCAATGTCGTTGCCATGGGCCAATCCACCAGCATCGCCACCTGAGCCGGACCTCATCATCGTGGGCTCGACGACGGCGGGGTTACAAACCACACCACCTGCGGCTTTGGCCGGCCCCACGTATGGGGGTATTTTTACCCCCATTCGAGGGTTTTCCCCCTTGCGCCTGGTGCAAGGGGAGGGAAGCTCGAGGACGTCGCACTCATCCTCCACTCGGCGCGTGACGAGGACCACGGCCGCGGCCCTTGGAATGGCCGGCTCATCTTCTGCCGCGGCGCCACCCCTGTTCCTGCCAGGATTTTCTCCATGGCAGGTGTATGCTCCATAGCTACCCGCTTCGGTAAGCTTCTATTCCCCCCTGCAGATGAGTTCGTATTTAGGGTTAGTAGGGCAATGTTAGATTTGATTGTTAACATTGGATTGGATCCGATTTGATTCGATCGGATTTGATCCGAATCCACTACATTTGGGTTGAATCAGAGCAATACTAGTGTTCGTAGTGGTTAGATGAGAATGTTCCTGCCTTACTCATGCTACATTCATGCATATGGGTTTGTGCATGCCACATTCATACTGCCTACGTTGCTAATTTGGTGCTTTTTCTTTGTTGTGTTGGTGATGTTCTTGCTATTTTGGTACTCGTCTTTGCATGATTATGCTCTATAGTGTGTATGTTGCCACATTGATAGTGCGTGATCCGGCTACATGATTGCATAATCAGCATAGCTTTTATGCATATGCATGCTAGTAGGACAAAACCGCAAATGCCAAAAATAGTAGAAGGACAAAGTTGAGCATGTGCATTTGGCATGATCTAATAGCACTGATCATTGGCATTTGCACTTGTGGCTACGATCTAACCATAGCACGACTCAAATGCAACTGCCACTAATCAAAAACAGTTGCAAATGATCACTGCCAATGATCATCACTATGCTAACCATTGTCCACTTTCCTGACAAGATAATGAAGATGGAGTGGGGTAGAGCCGACAGAGGAGTGCAGGTCATCGGCGTTGAGGCTGTCGAGGACCTTATCCCCACAAATCGCTGGTTGAAGAGGGCGGTGGGTCCAGGGAGGGTGGAGGCCATGAGCGTGCCGCTCGGCGCTGGCAGGAAGCCTAGGATAGGCCACGAGGGGGGAACGTGGGACCCTATAAGGTTCTACGTGTAGATCAAGGATGAGGAAGACATTGCCATGCTTGTCAAGCCGCCTTGAGTGGTCAGCCTGTCTACAAACAAGTGGTGCGAGTTCTGGGTCTAGGTAATGATCTTCAAGGGGCGAATGGTGCTTGGGTGCAGCTAGCAGTATTTCTGTCCGTGACACAGGATCGTCCTCAGCGACCTTGTTGTCCTGTGGCTTTCCGGCATGGGCCTGAAGGTGTAGATCTACAACACCAACACCTACAACATCTGCACGGTCTGGTGCTCCAAGCACAGCTCTGTCAGAGACATCTGCCACACCCTCTAGGTTGTCAATCTCTAGATCGTAGG